CTAGACTTGTTATACATTCTAATAAGTAACAGCAGCAGCTCAGTTGCACTACTGGGCTTCCAAGGGCTAACACTTCTCAGAGGCACTACTCACCTGAGGGAGGCTGGGCAGCCCTGCTTCTGGGGCTTCTACAGATGGGCCTTGTCCAGAGGCTGTGGCAGCCAGCAGAGGTGTGCAGTGCAGGAGGTGAGTCTCCTCACCCATGTCGGCACATAGTTCAGGCAGCTGTCACGCCACAGGGAACTGGAGTAAGCTCTGCGGGAAATACCTGTCTGCTGACATTGCACTGTTTATATATTTCATCATGGAACCTTGGAGAATTAAAGCAAAGCTGTGGAATATAAACCAACTGATTTGTACTTGTTGTCTTTAATTAAAGATCTCCTGAAATATAACCTGTTTGCATCTAGCCAAACGCAACAGCTGCTCCTCTGCCCTACTCTAATGTGTGCGTATCAAAGGAGGAAGGCAAGAATGGTAAAGGTACTTGATCTAAGCAAAAAAAACCATCTCTCTCTACAGGCTACAAATACAACTGCCCATCTTCCATCTTGCTACCTCTACAAACAGATCTCAAGATACAAGGTTTTAAATAACCAAGATTAAGCAATTGCAAAGGTCTGAAATTCTCTGAAGCTACATGATTTACAGATAGAAGCTTGAAATCATCAACATGCTTCCAAGCACGTCTTACATTAACCAGTATTACCACACAATGAGAAGATATAAGTGACAAAATGGATGTTTTGTCACCAGGTATTTTTGAGTCACTCCATTGATTCCATACCTGATCCTGGGTACTAGAACACCTTAATATCATCAGATGGCCCCAGATGACTCAGGACTCCCTCTGCTAAGCATCATACATGCAAAGTATGCATGTATCCCCTTTAACAAAGGGGAACATTTTTTTTCCCCACACAAAGTATTACTGAAGCATGGATTGCATTGCTTGGCACACTCCGGTGATCAGACAGATGAGTGGTTCCAAAAGGGGACTGTGTGAGTACAGAGGGTTAGTAAACCACAGTGGTTTGGATGCAGCCTATAGCACAGGGCTTAAGCTACTCCTTGACAGAAGCTGTGGACAAGCAAATCTGTGTTGTTGCTTACACTACTTCCCCCAAACATTGCTATAGGCCTCTCTCAGAAGGAAAACTACAGACAAGTTGACTGGATGGTCATTCTGATATTCCTGTGTTCTGCTATACCTCTCTGATGAAGGACATGGCACTGTAGTTTTGCCCAAAAAGCATTCTGAGAAGCACAGTCACAGCCTTTTTGGTTGTGCCCTGCCACAGAGGAAGGGCTATTAGGCCTCCCTCAGTTCCACCCACCTGTGCCAGACAGAGACATCATAACTTGGTGCCTGCCTTTCCCTGGTACTGCCATCTGTGCTGTGGGCTGTTGGCACAAGGACCTCTTGTTCTCTTTGCATAATCAGAGAAACCATGTTTTGAGCTGGCTTACATCAGGAAGATACTATACTGGCCTTGAATGCTGGGTCTTGGACCCAGGTCTCCCAGTGACTACCATGTATTTTCTGTGCAGTTGTGCACAAAGATATTCTCAGACTAAGGGAAAATCCTTACAGGATGAGAGCTTAAAAACACAAGAGAAAGGTGAGGAAAAGGGATACAAGAAGCACAGTGGATTATGTGGCGATTTACAGTTATCTGTGTACACTGTACACTTCATAAAATTATGAATTCTTAGCGTCCTGGCTAGATAACCAGATCATAGCATCTTACCTTTCTATTTCAGTCAAAATCTATATTCTGGCACTGGCATTTAAGAAGAGCCAGGTGCAATTTCTGAAGAACTCAGCAGCCCCAGGTAGGGTGGTGCAAGAACACCTGGTCCTTCCAGGTCCCTACTGGCTCTCCATAACTTGCTCCTGTTGCATTCAGCTACTGAGAAGTTAAAGGCTTCCTTCTGCCTTTGGCATGCAAGCACCAGCAGAAGAGTTTATTGTCTGTCCTCAGCACAGCCAAGGGCAAGAAATGAACAAAGACTGGTTTAAATTCATAGGACAGCAGTAAAAAAATGTTCCCCATAAACAAGCATAATTAGGTATTTGCAGGCTAATTAAAGGGTTTCAGAATAAGAAAGTGCAAAGCCAACGTCCAAAGGTAAAAACAAAACAGGTTTCCGTAACATTCCAGCTGGGCAGCAATGCCACCTACTGGCAGATATCCCACCACCGACTAACCAGGGAATAGGCAGCAGCTTTCTAACCAGGCCTCTCCTGACAAATTCCTCGCTCTGGCACTACTGCTGTCTCTCACACCGCGGTCACCCAGAGAGCAGCACGCAAGTGGAGAGCAAAATGAACACAACTAGTGTTAGCCCTGGTGTTTAGTGCCTTACTGGAGACGGCACCAGTGGTCAGCAGGCTGGTATGGGAACAGCTGTCATCTTAAACATTGTGCCTCTCAGACTGGATATTAATGTGTTCTTCATGCTGGTTGAAAGGGTTCAAAACATGCCTTCGTAGACCCCTCAGCACCATGTCCTGCTTGTCCCTCAGACAATACTAGATGTGTCATATGCCTTGGGAATCATAATTTAAGATGAAAATTGAACAGGCAGGAAAATAACCCCTGTTGTCAACAGCCAAATACATCATGATCTGTGCTTTGGACAGTAATTTTGATGATTAATTTTGTCCACAGATGGAACTAGGTGGCTGGGTGCTTGCCAGTAATTTTAAGCAGCAGCTCCTCAAAAGCTCGTCCCCCTACAGCTTCAAGTACAACCAAGTAGAAGACTGGAGGATTCCCAGGTGTGCCCAAGACCTCATTCCTTCAGAAGAACCCAATACCCTGTAAAGTTCAGCCATTTCATGGAGTCCTCAAATCACAGTGGAGCTCCCCACCTTGAGAGCTGAACTGGAACCTTGGAGACTAAATACGCACAGCAAAGATCATGAGTTTTACACATCAAAGGACACCAGAGCTCCATTCAGCTGTCAGGGCCCATGCCCACACCAGGGCAGGTTTGGCAGGTGATCCCAGGACAAGTCACTTAGCCTCTCTAACCTCTGCTCTTCCCCTCTATATAGAGCTCACTCAGATTTTCCTGCTACAGAGGATGACTGGGAAGCTCATACATTCCTGCAGCATGAAACACCCAGGTACATCAAAACAGCACAACTTGCCCAAGTTTAATCATACTAAATACTGAAGAGTTACCACAATTGCAGACCCATCTCAGTTCTGCAGGATGATATACCTTAGTTCCACGGAGCCAGATTCTTTCAAGACAAAGTGGCATTTATACACATTTCCTCAGCTTCATCTCTTCTACATTTTTGTGTGGGCAAAAGAGTGAGTTTCAAGCAAACCATAAAGGAAACGAGTAACAAAGAATCGCAGTGTCTTCTGTTTCTGGAATTTCTGTTGTCAGAAAAATTCAGCTGTTCTGATTCCCAGAATGGAAAATGGTACAGGGACACAGAAAGTTGAGTGTGATAGCGAAGACTGTCACACACACACACAAGGTAGTTTTTCATCAATTATTCATCATTTTAGGAAGAATCTCAACTTGCCCAGCAAGGTAAGCTTCTGCAGCCCCTTATCACCTGACCTTGGCCCCACACCATGACTTCTGACAGCAGCAGTCTCCCTCCATCCCTATCTCATACCTTTCCTATTGCTCTATTGTTCCAGCCTGCATCTTCATCCACAGTACACACCTTTTTGAGACCTGGTAGCAAGACTCTCTTTCAGCCCCTTGCCCATCAGGTTGACATTCCATGTCACTTCACAGTTCCCTCATGCAAATTTCTCAACCACAATCTTACTGTTTAACCCTCACATCTGGTTCAGTCTGTGGTTCAGCTGCCACAATAGTGATTTGAAGCAGTATTAAGAAGCTATGCTTTAGTGAAAAAATCAACAAAATTAACTTCTTTCCTGAGGCAGCAAAGCATGGACAATTATTCTGGCTGTAAGGGCCTGTGCTCACTAGGGAGGACTGGAATCTGCTGGCAAGCTCCAGACAGGAGTCTCAAAGATACTCAGTCCCAAGAAGCATGTGATCTCAATGCTTGTGGGGAAAGACAGAGAAAAAAAGGATGCAACATTACTCAAACCACTTTAGAAACCTGAGAATCTGCATGGAGATGGGTAGGAAAGAAAAGGAGGTTTATAAAAGCAGCAACTGCTGGGAAGTTTCAGACACCACCTGTAACTGACTGGGGATGAGAGAATAAAACTGAATCACTGCCACAGAGCTTAAGCAGCTTGGCTCTCTAAAAGAAATGATTCCTTAGAAGTAAATGCTGGCATAGAAATATTTTAAAGCATCACTAAAGCATATCCAGCATGTCAGAACTGAGCAGGAAAAATTCCTGTCCTGAAACACCAAGAAAGAGAAAAAGGATTTGTTTGTTTTTTAAGAAAAAGCGGTTTGACTTGTTTTTGCATCATTAGAGTCAGCAACTACCAAAACCCTAAAAGAGGAACAGACCACATCATATTTCTAAAGGCTCTTTGCCTTTTCCATACTAATATGGAACAGGGAAGGAGTTTTTACAATCTTGACGAAGGCACCAAAAAGCAAATTATTTCACTTAAGTCTGAACCTTCGAACCAATGCAGTCCTTTACAAGTGTGATCTCCGCATTTCCCATTCCTATTTGCTTTCCATCTTCCAAATTTCTACTCCCTCCCACCCTGACAAATTTTCAGAAATTATACTATCTTTATATGAAATAAAACCTAAGGAATTGGAAGGATTTTAGTGTCTTCTAGGAGAGTGTTTGGGATTAACCTTGTTACGCAAAGACCAGAGAAAAAAAGCTGCTTATCTGGGCAAGATCCTTTGACATCACTAGCTAGAAGATACCAAAGTAGCATAAATCAAAGCATTATCCTCACCAAAAAAAAAAGGGAGTTTCTTGTTTGTTTTTCCCCCTACTGACATTTCAGAGCAGTACTTCCAAAAAAGGCTTCAATTGCCAGATTACAAGTCAAGGAAACTCCAGTTCTTACCTATGTTTTTCCAAGTTTTATGTTGATAAGGATGTAAAGGCTTGCTTTTCTGGATCAGGGCTTTAATCTCTAAAGAATTACATCTCTGCAACAACTATAAAATGCTTCACCAATAAAAGAAAACTAGGGAAAAGACAGGATTCTAGCATCTTCAGAAGGTTTCACACATCAAAACAGTTATAAAATTATCCCTTGAGCAATGGTACAGATCTTCACGTTTACTTCAAAACACCGTAAGAGACACACATCCAAGGAGTTTTCCACTTGCTCTTTAATGAACTCCCCACACTCTGACTGCTGTAGACCTGGTGCTCTTGTCAAAGTCAACTACCCTTGACACCTTTTTTTCAGGCATTCCTAAATGGTAGTTCCTGGGAAGCAATTGCTTCGCGAGCGATTCAAGTGGGACTCCCACGTCAGGGTTATGTACACAGGGGCCTGCTGGCTAATCCAAAGTCAAGCTCTGGAAGGAAGGAAGAGCACAAGCACTGAGCAAACTACCACAGCTAACACACAAGTTATGCTGGGCTCCAGCTGCATATCCATACCTGTCTCATCTCACAGCGGACTGTCAACATATCCAGAGAGTCACTGGCACTGCCTGCCTCTGATTTATTCCTGCAGCTCTTTCTCCATTAGGGTAAGGTATGTGGTGTGTGTCTTGCTTCACTTCAGACAGAGAAAGATTTGATACACAACTCAAAGGATCAGAAAGGCAGGCCAGAACTCCAGAGTTTTTAGGTCTAGGAACTGCAACTCCAGATGGGGGGGGTAAACTATTTATTGTGAGCTGCCTTTGAACAGCTGATTGAGATAAACAAAATCAGAGACCTTTTCTGCTTCTATTTTAGGATACAAATCATTCGCTACTGTTATTGCTCTAGAGTATTTTGCTTTTACATTTTCTAGTGAGAGAGAGCAATAAACTGTCCAGAGAAAGATCCTATCTCAAACTCTGAAAGAAAGTAATATATTAGTTAGTGAACTTTCAAAAAAATCATTTATGTAAAAGCATGTTCTATTTACAGAGGTCATTTTGCTGTTTAGGACAAGTATAACCACTACCAGAAAAAAAATATACATATAAGAAACACCTCATCTTTCAAACAGACATTTACAAATACTCTGGGTAAACTACTAGAAAAATTAAGACATTTGAAATTAACAGTGCATTCTGCATGCAGTTAGGATAGAAATTACATTATTTGACTTCAGTGTGTCATTTCTTATCATTGTCAATGACACACTCCTGGGCTTTTCTAAAACACCACAGCCTGGCTATTACCTTAGGATCTCAAAAGGAGGACATGGATCTTCATTAGCAAGTTATTAGCTACTCTTCATTTTGCCATTAAAAAAGGACATCCTGATTGTCTTCTCAGCAGGAGGGTCTGGTCTTGTCGAACTTGGCATCCTTTTCCCTGAGTTTCCCTTTAGTGTTTTGCTAGGCATGATGATCATTGACTTGGTGTATCTCCAAGTCCTTGGCCAGCACTCTTCCCGTTACAAGGCAGAGTTCAGAAATTCCAGGAGCTGCGCACGGTTCCGGTCTCTCTGTAGAGCAGAGAAGCAGAGGCAGCAGCTGAACAGTTGAACAGACTCAGTGGAGCAAGGCTGCAGATCCCTGTTTTCTGTAGGGCTTTCACCTCCACATTCACACAGCTGGATCTAACTAGCTATCAGTTGGGTGTGAGTGCCCTGGGGAAGCACCAGGCAATGGGTCCTGGGGACAGATGCCCTCCGAGACAAGCTGTCACTGTCACTATTGCATGATACATGTTCTAAGTGGCTCCCTGCAGAGGCTCCATTGGGCTGTAATCATGTAGCTCACAGTCTGCTCAGGAGGGAACTCACAAGCGGAACAGATGCTATTCTCTGGTGTCTGAGGCGACTTTCACTGTACACACAGCAAGTCTTGTGCTTTGGGAAGTATAATTGTTTTTTCTGTGCAAAAACAGCAGCTTGCAGCATAACAGAACATTGAATTTAGGTTCTTTCTCCACGTAAGAGATGGCTCAAGCAGTCAAAACACTTGTTTCAGTGTTTTTTATAAAAAAATTGCATTTTTAAATACTGTAAAGAATGGATGCTGTTCAATTCAGCAAGACCAAAGGAACCAATCAAAAAAGGACCTACATCAAATATTTGATGTTAAATATTGTAATGAGCAGGTTACTATGACAGAACTGACAAGCATAATTTAACACAAACTGCAGTGCCCCAGAAAGAAGATAATGCATTTTCGATCAAATTTAACTTGGAATGCTCATATCTGCTTCAGTAGCTATAGAATGGATTGTTATGGCTGAACCAGAATGTGCCAAGCTGGATATACCTCAACGAAGTAGCACTTCTAACACATACTGACTAGTACCAGAGCCCTCTGCAGGCCACTCTAAGGTGTGGAAATTGTTGAAAAGGGTGAACTTATTAAATAAGTGCTGAGTCCAAACACTCATAGCAATAGCACAAAACACTACTCATTATATCAGTTTCCCTGGGTATCTCAGCAAAAACATTTGACTGCTTTGAGAGAACGCGTGGCCACGTGGTCCTAATACTACTGTTGGCTTTTTTTTAATTCCTCTCTAAATAATGGCTAGTTTTGCATGTGTTAGAAAAACACAGTAAAGCAGCAATTACCACAACTGATCACAAGAGACTGAAAGAAGATGAGTACAATTAAAACCAGTAAATTATATCAACAGAGAAAGCTATGAATCAGCTAACCATTAGAGACTGAAATTCTAAGAACCTGCACCGGCACCCTTTAGTTTATCCACTCATGCCTGAGTATTCCAAGCCCACTCGTAACACAAAACCTGCCAAAAGAATGAATTAAAATGTCTCAGATTGCATCATAGTCACACTAAAAGCTACACTCAATTTACAGCCCCTAAGTGCAAGACCGACTCTTCTACAAAAGGCAGTACTATTGCAAAAATATTAAAAGATACAGTATCTTCTCTTAGGAATATATAGACTATTTTAACTCTTACCTCTATATCTTCCTTAGTCTTCTTAATTTTCATCTTAATTTTCTTTCCGGTTATCATGCTGTAGTTTTCATTCTTCTTTTTGTTTTTAAAGAACTAAAATGAGATCACACATTAAAAAAGCTTTGCTTTATTTTGTAATGTTACAAATCACAAGTAAAATTACAGATGATAACCTTTTATACTTCCTAACTGTTCAAAAAAAAATACAGACAGATTTCTATTTGTTTATGATAAAACTGGTGATGTTATACACATTTTTATTACAGGATAGATTAAGTATTTAGATGAAAAATGTAATGGGGCTTCAGATTCACACAAGCATACCTTGGAAAGCTGGACAGGTCCTGTTTTCTCTCTCTTTTTCTTCTTTTCTTTCTTTTTCTTCATTTTGTTCTCTTTTTTCCTTTTCTAGAAGAATAAGACATATTCTTAGGCTTACAGACTCAAAAGGGTAAAATAAACCAAATCCACAAGTATATCTCAAGGCCCTGACTAGTCAAGACATCCCTTCTGTTTGCCCTTACCACTGCCAGGCAGGTAGTAGCTGAAATACAGAAAGTAACACAGCAGGGTTAGCAACCCTTGGGACCCTGAGAAACAGAAATGGTCTGATTCCCTGTTCTCTCCCATTTAATGTTGTCCTCGTTTAACCCCAATATACAAAATCACTGAACAGAAGGTCCTGATAAAATAGAAAAATTACTACAGCAAGAATCTACTACCTGGTTCTCTCACTGACTAAAAATCAGTTCTTCTGACAAATTCTATAAAGTTATCAAGATTCCCCACTACTCTTTTCTTCAGAGACTACTCTGAATGCTAGCTGGACCAGCAATGACTGGCAAAAGTAACTTCTAAATTATTTCTTGTTTTGTATACAGTCAATTAAATGCCAACCTTCATTTCAGCTACCATAACCCTAAAAGCATGATTCAGATTTACAGAGCCACAGACAACAGCACTATGTCTCACACGACCTTTAAGATTATTGTTTGTAAACTCCCTATTTCTCTTTGTAAAATGTTTACCTTTTTGTTGTGTTTTTCTTTCCTCTTTTTCTTTGATTTAGACTTAGGAAAATCTAAAGTTAAGGAAAAACAAAGAACAAAATCAAATCCTCTAAGTTTAGAATTCTTGAAAAAGGCATTTGGTTTTATGGATAAGGCATACAGAAATGTGAAACCTAAAAAGAAAATGCCTTAATTTAGCTACATACATTGACACTGGTTGAAACTAACTCAGAGGAAAGCAACACATTAACTGACTGCCTCTTACTGGTCTAACATGGAAATTGAAAATACCTGATTTACTGATTCTGCAGACATGCCAACTTTATGTGAGTCCTCAAAGGTAAATGCTTGAAATGTTAAGACCAAAGCAGGACTGAATAAAAAACCCCAACTCAGGTCTAAGTAGACTGGTGAAATAGAAAAAGATCTGTATTTTGAAAGTGTAATGATTAAAGGAGTTTAAATAAACACAACATATCGTTACAAAGTAACATTTTTTTTAATGGCAGTTTTTTATTTTTAAGTTACTTAAACTAACAAAAGAACATTGCAAACTGTCTACAAAGAGGCACCTTAACACAGCAATGGAAAAAGGTTATGAGAAAAACACTGAACACACAACACTGGTATTCTGCACCATCACTTTTTGGTGGTTTAGCCACATTTAAAACAAGCTCTAAATGTTTCCAGGAGTACTATCAAAACTGGTAAACATCATGTGCACATGTGGAGGTAGCTTACCTCTACTACTCGAAGAAGATGATCTTGATGAAGAGCGTGATGAAGAGGAAGAAGTGGATGTGCTGCTAGAAGACGATGTGGATGAAACAGATGATGATCTGCTTCTACTGCGTTTTCGTTTCCTTTTTTCTTTTCCTTAGGACAACACAAGGTAACAGTGACAAGCACGCTATTAACTATGGTCTACAAAAACGACTCTCCGCAGAACTTAAACACAGTGAGCCCCCATGTGCCACGGTTACTAATTACACGGTTGCTAATTACCATTAGCAAGTGGCCATGCCCAGTATCGGGGACCAACTCGGTGACTGACACAGAGCATCCAAACCCTAACACCAGAGCAGGGCAACAGACCAGCAGTGCCTACCTCGGACCTTCAGCCCTTCTTCTGAAGTTGCACACAGTGTCCTACTTTTTTCATCCTTGCTGTTATCCATATCTGGTCAAGAGGCAAAAGTACATTCAATAACATAATTTCCAAAAGATTTTGGAAATGGAAAAAAAAAAAAAAAAAAGGCAGTGCGGAAACTGAGGAGACCTGCGAACACGCCTGAGGGCAGCCCCATAGAATCACAGAATGGGTCTGGTTGGAAGGGACCACAGTGGGTCTCCCGGTCCAACCTCCCGGCCCAAGCAGGGTCATCCCAGAGCACACGGCACAGGACCACGTCACCCTGCCCTCACACTGCACCACACTGCGGGGGGCCGCGCCCTCCCGCATCGGGAACCGGAGGCCAACCCCCTTGTTTTCGTGGACGCAAAGGGGGTTTTTCCCCACATCCCCTCCGTGTCAGGCTGTCGCTGGATCACGGAACCCGGCCGCGCAGGGAGCCCCGGGGCCGCGCACCGCCCGCGGCTGCCAGGGGGCCCCGCGCCCGGCCCGCCTGTCCCCCATGGGCTCCGATCCCCCCTGCCCGACCCACCCGGGATGGGGACGGCGCCGCTCCCGCTCTGCCTCCCCTCTCCGCGCTCGGCCCGGGCCCGCCCGCCGACCCGGAAGGGCTGGAGCCGCCGCCGCCGCTTCCTGCCCCTCACACGGCAACGGGGTCGGCGGCTGACACAGTTACCGAGCACATTTCCGACGCTCTGGGCTCCACCCTGACAAGTTTTGCGTCCCCCGTTTTAAAATACCATGTCCCCAAACACAAAGCAATCACGGGATACTGGAACGGTTCCTGATTCTGGTCCGAAATGAAACAAATCCAACCCCTGCTGAGCCCAAAGCGGCTCCAAACAGAAGTAATATCCTATTCTGATTCCAGTGGGTCCTCAGACCTTGTGGATATTCGTCTGGTCTAGCTTAGAATTTACTGAACTTCTATGTGCAGCTGCTTTACGATATTCAAGCGTAAACAAAAATATCTATGAAATACATCGATTCTTAATCTAAAGAAGTGTTTTTGCTTGTTGGTTATTATCATCATCATCATTACAAACAAATATCCAGTACTCTGCATCCTTGTAAAAATCTCCTTAAATGCAGCCAAAATGAGTATTAGGCCACACTGACTCCAGAAGGATGGTAAAATTATTTATTCTTACATTAGTTTATGTACACAGTGAAGACATTTGGCTAGAAAAATGCCTGCATTGTAGTAAGAGATATTCAAACAACTACAAACTGTCAATAAATACGTTAGAAACATACTATATGCTGATGTAGAAATACCCTAAGCTCTTTTGGTTACTTATCCAGTACAATATTATTGAAAAGGTTTTTGGTATTCTTTTCATGCAACATCAAAATTCTTCCTGACAATTCATGCTATACAACATATTTTTTTTTTCTTTATTAGGAATGGGGTGAAGTTTAAAATCCTGTTTACAAGTAGTAAAAAAATCACTGAAAATTTTAACATAAATCTCAATTACTGTAATTAAAAAAAAACAATTTAAAGAAGGTCTTGCCTTTAAAAAAACCCAATTTTCTCAACTAATTCTTTATAAAACAGGTAGTATGTCAAAAGGGATGTTTCCAACACCCAGGACGAATCATTTGTGCTTCAAAATTTTAAGAGGAATATTCATGGCAAAAACCTAAACCCAACCAGTAGGTAGAGGAGAGACTGCAGTACAAACTGGCTAAAACCAAACATGATTTCAAAATCTGTCTAGGAAAACACTAAACACTTATCCACGTCACTATGCCATCACCTACTCTAACAATTAGAAATGGAGTTTTAATAATACTTAGCTCTCTTCATGCTCAAACTTCTTCACAAACATTTAAATAGCTCTAACGTTTCTGCAAGTATTATTATCCCCATTTTACGCTTGGGGTGGTGGAGGCGGAGAGGGCTGGGTATTTGCCAGGATACAGACCACATCCTTTCCATCTTGCCTCCCTTGCTTGTCCAAGTTCTTTATAATTTTCTGTATTTTATACTCAAAGTACTGAGGAGTCCCAGGACACACGGTTGGTACATTTCCATCAGTTATTAGTGGTTATTATGCAAGTTGTGTCACTTTGAAAGTTATGTGACAAATACTGAAGTAATAATCAACATGAAATCCACATCTGAGGCTCAGGGTTGATGACACAGAATGCCACACCACTGTCAAACCAAGCTTTCTCTTTCTGTAACAATACTAGGGACATGAGGCCTAATTCTTTATGCTGTACAGCTGAAATTACTCTTGAAGTCAATCATGGTGGTACAAAAGAATAAAATTGTTCCTTGCCATCTGTTTCTGGGAACACGGAAAGCCCCTATGGTGGCTCAGTACGTCCTGACATTGTAAAACAAAAAGGACTTACAGATGAAAACAAAGATTTCAGATGTGCTAACCCACCAGGAGGTATAGATTACTAAGGTCTCTTCCCTTCCGCCCCCCAATTTGAAAATATATGTGTCTGAGTTACATCCTGAAAACCACATGGGAAAGTAAATGTCTAGCAATAAGATTGCTGATACAAAATGCAGTATTTTGCCTTCATCTTAGTACCAAACCTTGAATTATTTTAGTTGATATCAACATTCCGCACAGAGAGGGCATTTTTCATTTTGTCACATTTGCCCTCTTGAATTTTCTGCCTTATACTTTTCAGTCCATGCCCCGTTTTGATTTTTATCCGGCCTAGTTTACTCTTACTCTAAATCCAGCTTATTGTCTTGCTGTCTCTTGATAAGCTTTGGAGCAATGGATAATGCTGTGGTGTTTCACTACCTGAACTGTGAGAGATGAGAGATGCAAAACTCTGTCACTTGTAATAACAAAATGGCTGAGAATGCAAAATTACATCCCTGTTACAGGCACCCAAAAGGCTTTAAAAAGGCACGTGTATTCTGTGTCACTTGTTCCTCAGTGCCTGATCTTGATAGTTTTAGTCGGTCTCCAATAAACCCCATACAATGCACACATTCCCTTGCAGTATGGAAGGAACTTGAAATGAGAATTAAGATCTTCAGACCACACAGTCAGCAGTTGTTACCCTTTTGTAACAAATGCTGTGTTGTCTGAAGATCTTAATCTTCAGACAAGAAGTTCTTCAAACTGAACAACAAGTTGTTAAAGGGTGGCTGTCACCCTTTAACAAACACTAGAGCTGCACTATCTGTGAGAACTGGGTTCCTACTGCAATCTCACTCCCTAATACTTTTTCCCCCTTCTTCCCCTAACATCCAAATTTCTAGGAGAGAGGAACAGTGCATGTTACGTGGGCTTTCTCCCAGGCAGATATCCAAAGCTTTTCCTGCCTTTTATAAAGCTGGTAAGCCAGAAAACATCAATTTTGCACAGATGTGGAAGAAAAAGAACAGGAGTTTTGCCCCTCTTCCAACAGCACAGCCAAGAGCTGGCAGGCTGGCCGAGTGCCCTGCCTCTGGCCATGTCCTGAGAGGTGAGAAGTGCCTGCAGCTTTTGGCTTCAGATGGGGACTGTGGATGTTTACCACTAATGGAAATCAGTCCCAAGGCACTAGGCAGGAAAGGAAAGGACATAAGAAAGCTGTTGTGACCTGGGCGTACTCTATATAGCTGAAAAACCAGGCTAAAAAAGTAAGAGGCATTGGTGCCTTCCTCTGGGCTTTCTGGAAAAACATAATTAAAACAAATTACAAAAATGCAAGATACTTGGCAAATGTTTTCCCTGCCTAACTGAAGCCATTCTCCCCTCTTCAAAAATCCAGGAGATGGAGGGACTAAGACATATTGATTCAAATTTGCTAATGTTGAAATGTTTCTATTGCAGGCAGGTGAAATGCACTTGCACGTCTGGGCATGGCTTCACTGCTGTGTGAGGGATGGGAGCCCACAGGCCTGCCTGGGCTCCAGGGAAGTTACTGGAGGAGTTTCATCTCCAAACACCAGTTTGGTGATGGGAGAAAAGCATTCCCCCCAGCCTGGACTGAGCCAATCTGGATTGAATGCATGTTTGCACCAAACCGGACTTCTAGCTGCCTTAAAAATGCAGTCTTGAAAAAAGGGTTAAAAAAGGAAAGGCTGACACTTTGGCAATTCATTATGAGTCCAAAAGCTGTGAAACATTCTCAGTAGCTTGATTGGTGGCAATTCACTATTGCATGGCTGGTAGTCACCAAGAAAGCAGTTCTTAATGGTTAAAGCAGTCACATTGATTGGGAACAATTTTCACAATTCCTCCAGATCAGTTAAATCCACGACGACTTTCAAAAACAGAGTGTCATCTCTGATATAGGTGTTCTTTGTGTTCTCCAGGACCGCGTGCGGCACGAAGCGAGGACATCCGGAGGCAATATTCATTTCCCCATCTGGCCTTTTGAAACTGCTGCTGTTGGGGTCGGCTCTAAAGACTTCCACAATGTGATTTTTTTTCCCACTTTGGTCCAAAAGCATAAGTGTAACCTTTTGCTTGAAAGGCCACAGCAGTAGTGAGTCAAATTCCCCCCTCATCACTACAAAGTAGAGAGAGATGTGTGTTCCCTTCCCTGAGCCATCCCCGTTCAGGTAGGCTCTCGCACACAACCTGTACCCACAGCGGCTGGTGTAAAAGGGCTGGCTGGCTATGGAGAGGACACGGCCTTCCACTGCTTCTTTCTTTTTCATCTTGTAGTCTGTGATTTTCCAGATTAATTTCCCATTGTAGCAGGTGCCTTCCAAAAGCTTAAATCGTTCTTCATTTTTATTGAGCTGTGCTTTGTGAATATTGATCTGGAGATCATGTTTGCTGGACTGATCTTCCAAAACAACTGAGAGAAGGGGAAACAAAAAAAGAAATAGGAAAACCAAACCAAAAACAAAACAAAAAAAAAGAGAGAGAGAGAAACGTAAATAAAACTGTCTGAGCACCCAGACTCAAGGTGACAAAACTTAACTACCCAAGCCTGAGTACAGGCTATGAACTAGTGTGACTACAGCTGTTAACTTTTAAAATTGTAATTGCAGCTGGTAGTTGCATAAGAAACACTGGTAACTACAAACGAGATTGAAGGCCTGAAGATGGATAGCACCATGGCCTTCATCACAGTGCACCAGCCAGACCAAGGCCAGTGCTCTGGCCCTGCAGTGCCACAGGAATTCGGGAGACATTGTGCATTAGGGGAAGGCGGGAGAACACAGCTCACACCATCATGGTTTGGTCTTAGAATGCAAGAAGGAAGCCCTTTCCAGTGAAGAGCTGCAACTGACTGACTGTAGCACCAGAGCCTCTACTTAGCTACCAGCAAATCAGCAAACTGCCCCCTCCACAGAAAAGAACCCAAAGTGCTGACATACCCAAGCGCTGATTGTATGTCTCCATCAGGGCAATCTTCTGTTTTACATTTTCGATTGTGTCAAACAGGGGCCGCAAGTCTAATTTACTCTGCTGCTGGTTTGCCATCTGTATTAGCTGTTTCACTTGAGATTCCAGGTGTGCAGACTTATCCAGGTGGCTGGCCAAAGCCTTCCCAGTTCATGCCATTGAGAAAACGTGGGAAGTAGAAGTACAAGAGACATCCATAAAATCAGCCATTTTCTTTGAATTAAGATAATGAAGTCTTTAGCATGTCAGCAGTATCATCTATACAGTGCACTGAAAGTGCTCAGCTGGCTTAGGAACTTACCTCAAATGCTCCTTCATGATTAATTCTGCACATTTATGGATTGAGAATCCCTCATTTGGATCCATTCACGCTGCATCACTTCACTCAACTAAATTATTCAAATTTATACCAGTGTATTTGCCATGGGCATCTGGCCCACAAGGATTTGTAAAGTGCTTTTTGCCTACATCAGGTAACCAAACATCTTTACTGATTAAAATGAAAAGACAATACCATAGTGTAAAAATGCGAAAAGGGCTTGTGGAGATTTGTTATTGCCCTGCTATTAATGATAACTAGTACTGGATAAACATGTCAGAATGTAAGAAAGCAATTGATAAAAAAGGTAAAATCAAAGTCTCACCTGTGTGCTTACCATCAAGTTGCTATTTTTACCAAACAGTTGTGTATACTGTCTGAATTCTTTCTCACACTTTTTAATGGCCTCTGCCAGCTGCTGGATTTTAATCTCTTTACATTCCAGGCTCTTATATAGGTCAGATATCTACAGATGGGAAAAGCAGAGTATAAATGCTAAGGAACACCAAAATATACAATAAGGAAATGAAAACATACGTGGCAGTGAAAAAGTTTACAAGGCAAAGCCTCTAACTGAGCTAGATAGAGCACTACTTAATTCACAGCTTGTGGATAAGCACTAGCAAGAACTGAACATAAGGTAATCAGACTTGAATAGATCTGTGTGGCTACAGGTGCAAAGAGGCCCATATCTCTCATCCCCATCCCCTTCAGCTCTGTAGTGGGATAATATATCCTTATTTGCACACGTGTGCATGTGTGTTTCTGTGTGTATGTATATACATTTTTTTCCCCTCGACTGAGGCCTAACCAGTAAAAGCGATGAGTCAGCGAGGGATACAAACTTCAAAACCAAGTTATAGTGCTTTGGGACACTTGTTTTTTGCATAAACAAGCAAAGAGGAAGTCCACCATCAGTTTGGATGCATTCACCTTAGTAAGACTGGGCATATACCCAGTGTCACCTGCTGGAAGCCACAGAAGTGATCATGAGCAGAAAGGTGCTTGCAACTGGCTCTGGTGCTGCCTCTATACAGAGTGAGTGACTTGGGGCATGTAAAGGCTCCTTTCTGGAGCAACCTGACCAGCCAATGAAAATTTAAAATGCTTTATCTCCAAACCTCATATCCGCTGGAAATAGAGACCAAAAGCAAATGAGATGAGCAATGGCAACGAGCCTCCCACTGTGCCTGGTGGAGAATATACACGCCTGAGCACAGAGAGATTTCCATGTAACTGACTGACTTCACTAGAAAAGCTTACTCTGACTTCTGAGGTGTGCAAAGACCATAAAACAGTCTTCTAAAGTGTAGCTGAGCTAAACTAGGCAACAAATGTAGAGTATCATATCATCCTCCAACCAGTCAAGAACCGCTGAAGAGTGATCATTAAACACGACTTACCTGTTCTTCCAACCGGGAGTTCTTGTCTAAAATCTGCAGCATGTGTTCCCTCAGGGCAGTGTTTTCATGTTCAGCAAGTTTCCCTCTTTTAACCTTAGTGAGGCAGAGGAGGAAGTGAAAGAATCAAATAATAAGCCGATTTTTGAAGCTGTTAGTAAAAAATTTATTGATGAAAACATTCAAAATGTCTCCTCTGTGCTTTGAAAGTAAGGGAATGGCAGTCCTGATTCTCTAGCATAGCATCTTAGCCAATGTTAGAAATGACTGTGAAAGGACATAAAATGGTTATTTTGATTAATGACTCTGATTGGCTTGGGAGACAAAGTCCAGTCCCTATAAAGACAAAGATCTGTAAAACAGTACCTTTGCAAGACATCCATACTGCTTATACGGGCAGTCCACTTCTGCCTCAGGGCACACAGCCTGGTGCTTTTCAATCTGCATGTATTAACACAGAAGTTTGGAATGAAATAAATATTAAGTCATTTGATGCACTTATAAAATCTGAAAGCCTGCATCAGGGGTGAATAAAGGCCACTGTCATGACAACTGCAAACCACTTAAACAGGAAAACGAGTGTTCAGAGTCAATAAGCAAGATAGGTATTTTTCCATACTACAAAACATCAATGGCTTACAGTGACCAAATAACACACTTAAAAGATGGGAGATATATCCCTTTTAGAATCAAACAAAGAAAATACTTAGAGCAATGAAATTTTATTGGCATGGGCCAATGTGGTCTGCAATGCAGCTTTCAGTTTTCATAAATGCATGTGATCTGCTGAATTGCAGTATATGAAAAAATAATAGTACCTCTTTTTTCAGAATTATTTGTGAACAATTTTGGAGACAAGGCACAGGATAATTAGGACAGTCATCTTTTTCATGATTCTGGGGAAAAAGAAACAGAACAAGGCAATGGTTTGAATTTTTTGTGAAGTAGTACATATAGAGGAAGTTATGCAAAAAGTAATCCCAAACATACACGTGCAAGTCACATATCACCTTGTTGTTCATAAGAGAGCATCAATAATTGGTATTATTTAAAGCATATTTATTATACTTTCTCCTTCAGCTACTCAACCAAATTTTGTTTCAGGAGTTGTTAAGTACCATTGCAATGCTGGAGACTTTTCACTCAGTAACATCAAGAGGAAACACATACTAGGGATTCCCAGGGAATGCTTCATAATCTTACCTTTATGTTAATGAACACCACATATGTATTACAGTACTGACACATTTCTTCTCGAAATTTACAGTGCTGGCTCAAGTGTTCTTTCACGTCTTTCCGAAGAATTTGATCACAACATCCGTCATTAGTGCATTGCATGCTTTCAAACAAACACTGCTGAAGATGTTCCTGCAACACACAACAGCAAATTAAACCCCAAAGTATTTCATTGCATCTCAATTTACCCAGCAGACCCTCAGAAACAGCTGGCAGAGTCCTTTGTATGACTTTCACTTTTCATTCAATCGATACACCAAAAAAAGGCCCAAATGGCCAGTATGACTTGGCGAGTTTCCTTGAATCAACATATGGCACCTAAGCATACAGAATATGTACAGACACTGGATATACTAAAACTACATAATAATACTAGATATACTAAAACTACATAAAGCAAATGGTTCTTATTAAAAAAAAAATAACCAAAGGCCAAGCTGAACAAGGTAACAGCCATAATATTTGTTACTTATGGTGTATAGCTAAGTCATAATTTTTGTACTTAAACCAAATTGCTACAATAACTCTGGAGACAATGACTGGGATTTAGCTGATCATAAATACACAGAATTGTCATGAAAATCAAAGGCTTCAAAATCTGATCAAGCAAACTAACCTGATATCGTCCCAGAATTATTTTTGAATTGCAGTCAGGAAAGTTTTTGCAGAACACATGCAAATTGAGAACTTCTCTCTTACAGCAGTTGTCTTTGAATACCTGTAAAGGAAGCAAACCAGCTTTCATATGCAGCCACATAGGATGTTATGAATAATATAAAAGAGCAAATATCACTACAGATCTCCTAAGCATGCAAGTGTAGACTCCATAATTGTGAGTATGGCTCTTGATAATTCATATTGAAAATTTATATTATAAATATAAATAAAACCATAAATGAATTTCTAATAAGCACAGGCCTTTCTCCCCATATAGTTATTCCACAGATGCTGATCCATCCCACAGCCAGCAGGACTAGTAGCACAGGAGCTATATAACCACTGTCAAAGCCTGCCTGTACCTAGAAGAAAGCAGCTGGAGCTAACAGGCCCCAAAGGCCATCCAGCTCTGTGCACAGTCCACAATGTTCAAGCAGTGCAGCGTGCCTTTGGGATGGAGACAATGCCGAAACATCCTTTCTACTGTACTCAGTTGTGTGTGCAGAAGCAAATTAAGCCCCTGGAGCAAACTTTAAGTCTTATTTAGAGCTCTTCCTGTAAGGAGCACTGTAAATGTTGCACTGTTGTCATCAAAATTTGTACAAAGTAGAAGGCGGTAAAGGAAAAACAAAAATCACATGGACAGTCTGATTACAGCTTCCTTTCAGGAGTACGACAGAGAGGAAGCAGACATTTGATTTCACTACAAAATTCATTCTGACATGATCAAGTATGTATACTTTTAAGTATACTTAAAAGTAGTATACTTTTAAGCCTTGGCATATAAATAAGAACAAATTATTCCATTACAAAAAAAAACCCAAACAAAACAAAAACCAACCAAACAGAACACTAGAAAACAAAACAAACAAACAAATAAAACCCAAACAAAACAACAGTAATTTGTAAAATAAAACAGATTAATTTATCTTTTCTTCTAAAAGTCACCCAAAAGTAAATTAGGTCTGCAGGGTTAATGAGATCTAATGGAGATAGTTAAGGAGCAAGTTATAGCCAAGTGAAAACAAAGACAACTAAATAAACAAGATAACCCAGAAAGATGGGGCATTAAAAAGTAAGTCAATAAACTCTCCACTAAAAAAAAAAAAATCTGATGACTAGGGAAGATTTAGAACTTTGTGAAACTCTTTGACACTTTACTGAAAATAGAGAAGACTAAAATGAAATAACTTCAGAGAGGTATAAAAATAAATTTTTATGTATACAGTCATACTTCCTTTCCGGGAGAGCATCACTGAGTATACTATTTCCCTTAGCATCATTTCAGAGACAAAAACTTGCTCTGCCCTGAGGACTAAGAGCCACCTTGTCCTCAGCTCTCTTGCCTTTTCCATGCAGATGTTGCCTGCTGAAGTAAAGCTACGGTCACTTACCTCGTGCATTTTTATTGTTTCTTTGTCGACAGGACAGGTGGGTACTGCATTTAACTCCCTAGAGCATAAGAAGAGTCATATTAACTCACAGAAAATTTTATTTATTTTATGAAATTGGGCTATGCTATAATCTGACTCTGACATAAGTCATATGATACCAGATACCATAAAAACAAAAAAGTGCTCTGAATCCACTTTCATCTGGCAACCACATAGCCAAATTCTGGCCAGAGTTCTACGAGGGCATTAATCTGAATGTGAATGTGCAACAGAAAACAGAGTTTGTCTTATGAATGTTAAATGGTAAAAACCATAAGATGGTTTTAAATTAAGAGGACTTTGTCACTCTCAGGCCATCTGCTGCTCTCAAATGTTGTATCTCAAAAAATCCCATTGTGTATTAAACCTAGCCTTTGCCTAGCAGAAGCAGTGCCCTCCTTGCTACACCAGTGAAAGATCTAATGGCTGGTGCCTTAAAAGGCTTTGAGAAATCCTGTAATAAGGGGCAAGAAAACACTTATTGAGGCAGTACAAAAGGGATGCAACCCAGAGAGAAAGTAGCAAATATGAAGCATCTAAAATTCACAAAAGGTAACTAGCGACATCCGTCCACATAAAGAGGCTCCTCTGCAGCCTAGCCGGGAGAAATCTTGCCCTCAGGAACAGCAAACAGTACATAATGTATTCCCAGACAGGTCTGTGGGGTAGAGTCATTTGTAGCAGATAATTCCCAAGCAGATGCCAGCAGCCTTGTGATCTGACTGCAGTATCAGGTAATACTAACAACAATTTTATAACTCCACTAAAAAAAAATTTCCAAAGAAATTTTACAGAAGAAAGTGAACACCGCTTAATCTAACCACCAGTGCCAATACTGTGAGACATCACCAAAACCAAATTCTCTGCAGAGCACCATGCCAGACAGACAGACAGACTGAAACAGCATCTCACACAGTAGTGCTCCAGCTTACATAACAATTTCTCGTTCACCAGCACTGGGTATGGTCTTTAAGGACACCTTTAAAACACTGAGCATGCAGTCATTGAGTTCATCAGAGTCCTTCCATTGACTCCTTCAGCGTCTTACTAGAGCAGTAATACTATTATGGCACTCACTGCTGATTCATACAAGACGTTGAATTTTTTTTTAGGAAAGGGAATACAGGGAGTTTGTGAACACAGGAGGAGTTTGCACTCACCTCAAAGAAAGAATGCACTGCTGGCAGAATCGGTGCCCACATCCTGTCTGGTGGGGGTTGTGAAGGACGAGGTGGCAGTAGGCGCACTTGTACCGATCCTCTAAGGTTTCAACAAACTTGTAGTCGGCGTCAGGCTCAAAGTCCAGAGAGGTGGTGCTGGCAGAGTTCTGGCGTGTGAAGATGCCCGAGACAGCAGTGGGTTCGTCACAGGCCATGGGAGCTGCACTGGGAACCAGACACAGGGGGAATCTCTTCAAATACTCACTGGCAGCCACGCTGCATCAGCTACTGCTTGCAGCAGGGTGCCACTTGCGGGAGGGCTGGCATCTGCAGAGGGGTGAGACAGATTCCAGAGGGAAACACGGCACCAGCTATGGAAGAACAACAAAACGCTCAGAGAACTGCAAAATGATAATTACGTGACAAGCATCAAAGCACACTCCTTTGGAAAAGAGTATCACAATTTGTAAACAGAGATTTTTATGTTTGTGGGGTTTTTTTTAATATTTTCTTGCAGCAGTTCTTAGTCTGGAAAAAACTACAAGAGTCAGTAGTCAGACACGGTTGGGGAAAGCAGAGGCCTAGCCTTTGCCCTAATGTTCACCAGGAAAGTCTACACTTAAGGTAGAGCCCACCCACATGACTTCACAAGTTCATTGCACTGCTTCAAGCAGGAGGTGGCTTTGTGGTTCACAGCAAGGAGCATACAAAAATAGGCAGCAAGGGGATTTTACCTTCAGTTTAGGTGTTGCAGGAGTTGAAGCCTCTTAACTTGACATCTTTCTTTTTTTTTCTGTTGATCCCTCATTTATAGCAGTAAACTCCTACTTTTTCAAAGTTTTATTAAATTATGTGCAAGTCCTTGGCTATATTAATCCTGTCTGCAAGAAGTGGTGGAAAAAAAAGAAAGAAAAGCGAGATTGCAATCAGAGGTGTGACGTAAGTTTTTCTTTCAACCTACTGATGTTCATACGTGGCACAGGAATGCAATTTCCCAGTAGGAAAAACTGTCAACATTTTTTTCCAGCCTTAAGACACAAACCTCGAGACCTCTGTCACCAGTCCCTTAATCTCACAGTAGTTTTTTTGCAAGTAGCTCAAGACCTAGAGCCACTCTGGTTTGCATTTCTTGTAGCTTTGCACTCAGAAGACATTTTCCTTACAGGATGCATACGAAAGCACAACACCTGAGCTCTCAGACTGTTTCACAGGAGAAGTGCTCAATTTTATAGCGGTGCCACGGGACGCTATCTCTCCTCTGTGCGCACCACCCACCCTGTCAGACACTCAAGTCACTCTTACTGGCTTCAGCACCTCTCTGAGAGCTCTCACTCAGCTGCTGTAAGGTCACTGAGGGTATCTGCTGCCTTCGGAGAGAAGCAGGGCCAACACACCACCAACCTTTTGGCTGGCATGAAATAATATGGCAAGTACAGACACACTGCCCTGCCTCTCTGCTGCAGTGTGTTCCTGGCCCATGAAAGCAGTGACTAGTGCTGCGCTATGCACAGTGCAGCACTGCCACAGACCACATCAGGCTTCAGAAAGCAACATCCATTTTCCTTTCTATTTTAACAACCCACACTGGGCAAGGAATTCCTGTGGACAGTTAGTGTACCTGAACAAAAAACAAGCCAAAGCACTTAAACAACTAAAATGTATTCCACAGCAAACATTTGAGTGCTCCTGTAACTCAGCACCCTTGTTCACGGTTGTACCCGGTATTTACCTTCCCAGCTTGTGAGGGTCTCCCTGTTATCCACCAGGCTGAATGTCTGACATACTCCAGCACAACTGATCACCCAACATTACGGCGGATTCGTGGGATTTGGGGAGACCTCCAGGCCTTAGGATGCTGGCCCCATAACCTGTGAGGTGAATGCCCTTCCCCCCGCCCCTGCACGTGGCCCGGCGACCCCGCAAGGAGCACACACAGACCACACAGGGAGGGACGGACGAAAGAGAAAGTTTATTGTGGGGTTGGGGTTTATAAGGCTTTTAGGAGGGTCAAAAGGGGACCAATCACAAGGTCAGGGTCACACAGAAAAAAACATCAGGTAAAGGGTCAACAACCAATAGAAAGGGGTTAACAAGGGACCAATGAGAAACACCTCAGGACACCTTCCCAGGACACTCTGTGTGAGACAAGAGCTTCACAGGGGGTGTCGGGAAGAAGGAGACAGTGACACTGCAGAAAATACAAAAAGCCATTTTGAAACATGTTTAAACCACAGTAAAAACTTCTGTCTCCATAATGTTTGAGCTGTTTTCCTCACCAATCCATCTCTGACAGGAGTTTTTCCATCCTGCATATGGCAAATCCATTGCCACACAACATCCACAGCCCTCAGGAATATGAACCTTAATCATATTTCAGGCATAAAGACTTATTATTCCAACTGGAGTTTGCAAATTACCCTGTTTGGTCCCTCCACATGAACAGCCTCCTGCTTCAAACTAGAGATGGTTGCCCATTTGGTCCTTTCATTTTTAAACAGCTGACCTTTTCTTCTCTGAAAATGGGGTTCCCAGTTCCCTGACATTTAATAAGGACCAATTCTAATTTCTTCACATCAACCAGAGATGCCAAAATGCAGCCTGAGGGATTACCACCCTCATGCCTGGGCTGCCTCTGTAGCAGATGCCAGCAGCAGAGCATGCCTGCTGCTTCAGAGGCAGATGGAGAGCTGTCACCATCAATTTCCACAGCACAGATTACCTACAGGATGAACTGCCTAAGAACTCATTCTCTTGTCAGCAGGTGAGAACCCTGAAACAATTTTCCTTCCTTTTTCTTATTAGTGCTCTCTCCCATTTACATGGCATCCACTTTCCTGAGTCCTATTACACTCCATTACTTACATCATCTGATGGCATGGTTTAGCAAGCTAATGCCACACAGTCTAAAAACACATATATAAAAAAAAAATCAATGTTTTATCCATTTTGCTGTTAAACATCTTCCTTAACTCCAGAATTTCTTCCAGCTGCGGTGAACAGATGTTTTAGGCAAAAAAGTTATGGGACACATTAAGAAGAAACATAGTCACCAGCCCAAAATCCTATCTAGAAACTCCTTCAGAGCTCTCGCTGTTCATTAAATCAACCAAAATCATTCCCATCTCTTTCTGCAAGGAACACTGCTGTGGTACAACACCTTCCAATTCTCTTGTTGAAATGAGAGCCTTTATCTCCTTAAACACTTTCATAATGAACCCAACCCAAAAAATGGAGACCCTCCGTGAAAGAACCTCCTCCACCTCAGCCTCACTCAGGACTGCACTGCACAGCTAAGGGCAGCTCAGGGCACAGGAAAGAGCATTTCAGGTGAAAGGTGATCCTGCCTGCTAAGAGTGCAGAACGGAAACCTCTGGGTGCCCAGCAGGGATGTTTGCCACTGCTGACAGCCTTGCAGAAGGTTTGCTGCGGGGTTTGCAGCTGTTTTGCTGGAGGAAATGGGCTGCCCCAGGAGAGGGCCTGTGGATGGCAATGCTTTGCCCAAGCTGAAGAGGTGCCTGTGTGAATCAGCTGGGGAGAGGAGCTGAGAAACAGCAGCCCTGTGCCAGACCTAGTGCCAGCCAGCGCTCGGCGGGATGTGATCCAAACCATCACAGGCAGCAAGTAATTCCCATCCCAGTGCTCACCAGTGACTCGGGCGGGTCACAGAAGCTCTTCTTCCACTTTTGGCTTCCAGCACCTGGGCTCTCTGTACTGAAACCAAAGAGAAACCGTCAGGGGAAAAAGTGCTTTTTGGTGACAGTGAGAGCACGCCAGGGTTATCTGAATCAATTTCCTGCTTACGCTGATGCCTGGCCAGTGTAGGTAGGGGATGAGGGACGCTTTCACTTCTGCCTGCTCACAGCTAACAGCAAGGGGAAGGTGTCCTGTCTTTGTGTACTCTCAGATTTTTCAGCACACGTGTGAACCATAATGCTGTTTTAAAATAGCAGAGAGAGGCAGGTTTATGCTGTATAATGATGCTCTTGTGGCAGACACAAAGGGATTTTCACTGCACCTCCACTGCAACAGCATGCACACAAAAAACACCCCAGTTTATGGAGACTGAAAATCTACACATTAAAAAACCCGGATTTCCATATACTGAAATAAATAGAATTAATTCTGGCCACACATAAAAAAAAGCAGTATGACTCACTAAAAACTAAGCCCAAGTCCTATAAACAGCTACCAGTGAGTGGGAGCTCAATGGCAGCACAGCACAAAAAGCTCCCAGCTGCACCTTCCTACCACTTCAGCATCCCAGCCCTGCCTGCACCAATAGCTGCGCAAGCAAAATGCTTCTGGAACAACTCTTCATACACAGATGCTTTAACTTCACTGGAAGTAATCCAAGGGGGAGAATTTTCATAATAAAAATAAACTTTACTAAATGTGGGCTATCCTATTTTAACTACCACCACACCAAATTGAGCCCAAACACTTTCCATTAAAATACACCCCACTTAGTATTTCTAACTGTTCAGAAACTGAGCAAGACATGAGTACAACATAATAATAAGGAGAAAAATCAGTATGGGCATGACTTACTAGGATATAAAATGGCATTAACATTTTAAAGCCATGTTCAAACAGCTACCCTCCAGCAGTGCTGCTGCCTATCTATGGCACCAGTAGTCAGAATGGACAAAGGCCATATACAAACCTGATGTCCCATTGAACTACTGTGGACAGATTAACTTCTTTTAGTTACAAAAATATACTTTCTGCACGCACACAGATTAAACATTCCCTATAATGTGGGTGCTCTTTTTAAAGAGAGTATTTTTCTCCTGTTTCCTCTCACATGAAGCCAAACCCCCCTGAAAGATCAGCACATATGAGCTACGAGTGCACCATTACGGCAGGCTGCAGCACCAAAACTTCCAGGACAGCAGACCTGAGGCACAGGCACTGGGTGCCACCCATGCCTTTTAGACTGAGAAGGGCAAATATCAGCGTTGTTATCAGAGATTTGGTCACCATGCATGGACTAGACAACAGGATCCTTGGTCCTGCTGCCCAGCAAATGGGGGCTGAGAGCATGGCTTCTGCTGTGTACACTGCATGAGGGGAAGGCAACTCTCCAGGATTGGGGTATTGCTCAATAAAAAGCACTGTGATTACTTCTTCACTTACCATGCTTCCATGAAATACATACAACAGGGAACAGAAAAAAAGTTATACACCTATGTTCCTGTAGCTCTACTTCAGCTCTATTGCTTTGCCCTAAGGCACCTGGCAGGGACAAGTCTTAGAAGATGCCCTGTCCCTCTCTCTCAGATTATGTACCTTTTATGGTACATCAGAACTGGAAGCCTGTCTTAGTCACAGTGGGAAAAGTTTGTCAAATTTAGAGGTCTAAGATCAAGTCACTTCATTGGGAGCTGACAGGCAGAAACATGATGGACGGGAACATACCTTGCATTAAAATGACCCTGTCCAAGTTGCCTTATAAGGTAGGTAGATTAGCTACCTCCCTATTTTTAATTAAAATAACAAAGTTGTATGATTTACTATTTACTATAATGCCTTCTACAAAAACACTGTATTTTGGGGACAAGAAATATATGCCCCAACTCTTAACATACACAGTGGAAGAGGTAACAGAGTCTGCTAAAGAATGGCTAAAAATATCTATACAGTTTGAGATACATATTTAAGATATAGCAAATTATATGGAGTCATGTGAAAACAGCAGATTATGACATCTGACATCACTGAGGGATCATCCTTGTCCCTTCCGACCCAGAAGAGATACAACATTTTGACTGCTGACAACAAAACACACTTGCAGAGTCCCCATGGGGGAGAAGAACCCCAGCTGCATGACGTGTGTCACCCCAGCACAGAGGCTGTAGAGGGAAAGGATCCCCTCCTGCACCAACACAGACCCACTGCTGATACTCAGGGCTTACTCCCACTTCACCTGGCACTAAATCAGCCTCAGGAGCTGCTCTCCTGTTATCCTAATCACTTCAAAACTGCCATGCAGTGACCAGCTGGTACCCAGGACAGAATATTTCTAATAGCAAAAATTTCCTATTGGATATGTGCCTGAGCACCTACAGGGGATGTTGCTGCAAAGGACAGCAGAACAAACACTTTCTTTTGGATATAGACAATACTATCCTATCCAAATTCCAGTATTACCTTATTGTCAAGGCACAGTAAAATCTTACTAAGCAAGCATCAGTTTGCTAATCTCCATAGGCAAATTTTCACTAAGCA